CATCCCCTGCTTTCTACCTTTCTCTTGGGCCTTTCACCTGTCTCTCCTTTTCTCTTTCCCCTCCTTCATTCTCTAAGGACCACCCACACCCTCCCCCACTGCGCAGACCCCAAGGCTTCATATTAATTTCCAACAGGAGTCAAGAGTGCAGTATGCCCCTCACACCAGGCAGGATGCAGAGGGTGGATGTACCTACCTCCTGGCCTCTGCCATAGGGCCCATAGTCATGAGAAATTCCTCCAAGTCCATGGGGCCTTTGTTAAGGGAAATATGTGGCCCCTGGAACCCTGCTTGTAGTCCTCAGGCCAGCCTCCCTGACCCCACCTCTGCCACAGCCCCTGTCTCAGTCCAGACCTCTGTGGAACAGGGTGCATTGCTATTCACTGGGCACCATCCCTGCACCCAGCAACCAGTGAAAGAGCAGATATGAAGACAAACTGGCTTAGAAAGGAACCCAGCTATAGCCGTGCATCCCCCAGCTATGCATGCAGACAGGCACGAGGTGCATAGACGTGTATCCCCAAGTGCTGTGGGCATCCCTTTTCATGGGTATGTGTACCAGGCACAGATATGTACACCCAGAGTGACAGACACACCAGCAGACACTGCTACCACAGAAATGGATGGGTACACAAGAGGGGCACACAGTAATGCATGCACACAACTATGACATTTGCACTGAGAAATCACTCAGAAATCTTTGTATATATCCAAAAGGAGAAATACACACATTGATTACTGGGTACATGCACATCTAGAGACAGCACCATGTAATCCATGTGTACACGCAGAGATGGATATGTGTGTGAAAATATATGAGTGGACAGTGGTGGGTGTAGTCACACAAGAGCATACTCACACTCAGAAAAGGACAGCCACACAGAGGCTAGAGCACTTAGCTCCCAGTGCATAGGCATGGAGGTGGGCTTGTGTGCAGAGGAAACAGCACGATCAGGAGATGGCTCGTGTGTACCCAGAGGCAGGTGCACCTGTGCATATTGGCAGAAACAGGCACACATGGCATCTTTTCCCTCTGTTGGAGGCATACTTACAACCTATGGTGCTCTCACCCCTTCAGAGAGGTCTCCTGGGTCCCTTAGCTCCAGGTGCTGCAGAGCCAGTCATAGAGAAGGAGGGTCACCTTATGCCAAGATACCCCCTGGAAGTTTGAATGGATCCTCAGAGCCCAGCCCATCGGAATCGGCACAGCAGGACTCTGATAGGCATCCAGGTGCCAGGGTTGACTGTTTTGTGGTCACCTTGGGCACACCCTAATGACCCTGGAGGTGGCAGCCTTTGTTCCTCCTCTATCACCTCCCCGGGGGATCAGGAGGGAAGCCATCACCAGTCTCTGGAGGGAGGGGCAGCTAGGCAGCAGGAAGCCCTACCCAGAGGTGACTTCAAGGAGAGATTGTTGGAATAGAAATGGCAAAAAGATCCAAGGTCTGAGTAGCATGCAGAGTTCACCCACATGGAATGCAGAAGGGAAAACCTGCTCCACACATGTGCTGCGTCCTCCTCCACACTTTCATGCCTCACTCACTCGGTCCTCATAGGGTCCCTCTTCTCAGTCCCTGGATTTGGAGGGTCCAAGGTCACACAGCCAGTAACTCCCAGAGCTGTGATTTGAGCCCATGTGGTCTAGGTTCTAGGAACTCTGGGCAGGCCATCCTGCCACACTACTGAGCAGGTACTATTGGCTGAATGTTTGTGTACCCCCGAATTCATACCAAGGCATGGTGTTAGGAGGTGGGGTCTTTGAGAGGTGATTAATTCTTTAGGGTTTAGTGCTCTTCTACCATGTGAATGAGGATAAAGCCAAACAATGATCCTCACCAGTCACCAAATCTGCCAGCACCTTGATCTTAGACTTCAGCCTCCAGAACTCTGTAGTTTATAAGCCATCCGGTGCATGGTATTTTATCATAGCAGCCTGAACAGACTAAGACATCAGGGTTAAAAGCACAGGCTTTGGATCCAGGTGAACTGAGTCCTAGCTGGGTGCTTGGAGCAATTCAGTCCATAAACATTTCTGAGCACTGAGGATGAGCTGGGTGAGGTGGTAGGACAGAAACAATGAGAGGAAGGGCTCTGGGCTGAGACCTGTGCAGGACACTGGATGTGAGGGTAGCATCAGACAGGCCACTCAGCCAGAGAACAGGAGCACTCTGGTGGTACATGCCTATTGTCCCAGCACTCAGGAGGCTGAGGCAGGAGGATCATGAGTTTGAAGCCAGTCTAGCAGATCCCCTTAAGAAAGAAAGAGGGTTAGAGTGGTAGAGCCTCTGCCTGGCAAGTATGAAGCCCCAAGTTCAAACCCCAGTACTGTCAGAAAGAGAGAGAGGGAGAAGAAAGAAAGGGAAGGAAGAAAGGAAGATAGACCAGCCAGTCAGAGTGCCAGAGTTCTCTCTGTTGGGGTAGGTCCTGCAAGGACAGACTCCCCCAGCTTGGGGTGAAGTCAGGACAACACCCTGAAGGAAGTGACAAATGTTTGAAAGACTGAGTAAGAGTCCATAAGATGGGGCAGAAAGAAAGACAATCCAGTCTCAGGACTCATCACATGCAGAGAAGCGAGAGAAATGTCAGGTTGCTGGGATGCAGAGCTCACGATGGGGAAGAAGCCAGAGGAATTCTGAGCTGAGCAAGGGAGGCACCTGAAGGAGAACAGATACCAAGCAGAGACATGGTCTGTTTAGCATTCTAGAAAGCTCAGAGTAGGGCGGGCAGAAGGTGGGCAGGGAGCAGGGGAGTTCAGGGGCACACATTCAGTGAGGAAGAGAGATAGAAAGGTGGAGAGCTTGGGTAGTGGTGGCTTCCGAAGTCATCCAGAGGCAGAGGGGAGGCCAAAGCTCAAATGTGACCGATGCCTGTAGGTGTGAGAGGAAGGGAAGTCAAGATTAGAGCTTATGTTTCTGGCTTGGTGGTCAGTTGTGCCATGCCCTGCCATAAGAAATTCCACAGGAGAGGCAGGTTAGGTGTTGGGAGGCAGTGAGCGTTCAGTTTGGGAGTTACTGATCTTGGGGGGCCCAAGGAGCACTAGATCGGCTAATTGGGGCTTAGTTGGAAAGGCTGCAGTTCTAGGAAGTGGGACAAATGTTTTGGGGGTGGGATGAGTCTGGGGGATATCAAGTCACATGGTGTGGTTACAGCCACCCTTACCATTCCTATGCAGGCAGAGCTCTGTCTGCACCTGGGCTTCCGGCCTCAGGGCTGTGGGGCCAGGGACAGGCAGGTGGGAAATGCTACCCCTGGGCCTGTAGTGGAGGCTGGGAGCTGGGAGCTCGGGTGGGATGTTTTGACATTGTCTACGTGGACTCCTGGAGCAGCCCATGGGGGTTGAGCCCCCATCGCTCACAGTGGTCACCTGTTCAGCAATACACCCTGAGGTGGCTTCTTCCCCATTCTGGCTCACATCCCTCCCTGAGCCCTCTGAAGTCACCAACCAGGGCTTCGTGGGGAGGAACTTACCCAAAGACTGGGGCACAAGTTCTGGGAGCCTCATCTTGCTCCCAGGTCAAAAGGATAGCATACTGCACGCTGTGCCAGCTGGGAGACTACACCATGGGAACAACCTGAGGACCCCAGCACCATGCCCCACCCCTCCCTCATACATGGTACACAGTAGCTGCTTAATAGAAGCTACCACCCCTCAGACTGTTAGAAACGGCTAGACCTTTCTTTCCTGCTAATCCAGCCCCACAGGTAAACCAGCCCTTCAGGTCTGACTCTTCCTGATGCTCTTTGCTGAACACCTTTCAGGTGGCCTCCTCCACTGGCAGTCAAGGGCTCTCTGGGGACTTCCTGACAAGGACGGGCCAGAGGTGACATGTGGTCTGGCAGATGGATGCCTGGGTTCTTCAGGATAAATTCAAAGCACACTTCTTTTTACAGACTGAGCCAGGCAGGCTAAGATCCTCTTCACTTAACACTCCCTCCAAAGTGCAGATTGCTGTGTCTCCTCCTTCCTCCCCCCCCCCCCCCAGGAAGCAAGGCTGCTGGGTCACTTTCCCAGGCCCCTCAGCCAAGCAGTGGGAGAGCTACGATGGGACTTCAGGTGTGGGAAACCAGAGCCTAGGAAGGTGGGCATACACCACACTTCCCCTCTGATGCTCCTGTACCTGGTGCAGGCTCTGCACAGACACAGGGCTTAGAAATATGCGGGTGGGGGGTGGGGGCTGAACCAAAGAGAAAGACTCACAGAGGGCAGGAAAGTCCTACTTCCTGCTGGACTCAGAGCTCTCAAGGGCCTTTCTGCAGCCCCAGCTCCTAGCATGGGGCCTGACATACAGTCCCATGCAAGTGAGGAATGTCAGTCAATGAAGGAGCAAGCATTTCATCTTCTTGGCCAGAATGCACACTGCGACCAGGCCATTATTGCATTAGGAGTTGTGCCATACAATACTGAAGTTCAATTCTGTTATTCCCGTTGCAATCTTCCACAAAAAAGACTTTTCCTCCTCAGCTGTCCACACCCACCTCCTTCTCTGTCCCTAGGAGCTGAATTCTCACATCTGAAGGAAGCTTGTCCCCTTGTCCCACAAATTTGAGGCTACTTTCAGCAACCTCTGGGGTGGAGGATGGGAAAAATCAGTAGCAAGTGCCTTCTGTGTGCTTCAGAATATGAAATCTCATTTTCTCTCACAGCAGCCCTCGAGGCAAGGCTGAATAGCCCCACTGGACAGATGAGAAAACCAAGTCCCACAGGAGTTAAATGACTTGTTCAAGGTCACCTGGCAAGTTGGAGGCTGAACTAGACTTGATCCCAAATCTCCCCTGCCCTGAAATGTGGGTCCTTTCTCCACCACCCATTTCCTTCCAGGCCCAAGCTGCCCTTCCTGATACACTGTGGCCGGTGCAGATCTCAGACGTGTCAACCTGGTGACACTAGATCTGTCACGTTAGCGTGGAGTAAAGGAAGCACCTGGGGCTCAACTTACTAATTCAAGAGGCCAGTGAATTATTCATACCACCATTAACTTGGAGTCCCTTCCAGGCTCACCTCTCTGTGCTCTGCTCAGACCCCTCAGATCCTGGTTCCCCTGTGCTTGGCAGCCCTGTGCATGGCCCTGGTGAGGAGATGCTGGCCAAGCTGGGATCCTGTCTGCTGCTGTCAATTGCACTGCTCAGCCCAGGCCCCAGGACCCAGGCCATGAAAGGTAAGAGCGCTGGGAACTGGGAGGACAGGAGCAGAGAAGCAGACAGAGTCAGGGTCTCTGGAGGTTTCTATGTGGGAAGCCAGAAAGCAGGAGGCCTTTTCGGGGGCTGGCTGAGTGGAGGATGGGAGGAGAGAATACTTACTGAGTTCCTCTAACTGCTAAATACTTTACATACAAGATTGCAATGAACCTTTACAATGAATTTCAAGGTGGGCATTCGTCCCCCATTTTACAAATAGAGAAACTGAGGGCTAGGGGTATTAAGTAACCTGTCCCAGACTACACTGTTACCAAGGGCAAAGGGAATGACCCAGAGAACTGTTAAAAGTTCACAGAGGGAAGGAGTCTGTTTTCTGTACTTCCTGCTGCCAACTGGAGTCCTCACCATGGCTGTCCTGGTCCCCTGACTGCTGGCTCCAGTATCTATATACTATGGAGGCTCTGTTCCTGTGTACCTGGAAGTCCCATGCTCTGGCAGGGAATCTGGACCCTTTCTGGAAATATTTTGCCCTGCTGTCCCCTCTACTTGGAAAGGAGTCTCCTTTCCAGGAATCCGTTGGGTGAAAAACAGTCCCTTTTCTCTTTTTCTTATCCTTCAAGCTTAGGTCAATGCCACCTCCTCCATGAAGCTTTCCATATCCCTCTATCAGCCTTAGATGCTCCCTCTTTGGAGTTCCCAAATGTGCCAAGGTCCCAGAAAAACTGTGTTCTGCTCTGACCCGCCAAGCATTGTTCGTCTGTGATGCAGGGATGAAACCATCTCACTCTTCAATGAGAGGCATGCATGCAGGTGGTGGGTGAGGGGTGGGGGTAGGGAGCTCAGCAAACAGCAACCAGTGCCTCATTTTCCTCCAGTTCAAGTGGGGCTCAAGGAGAAAATGTACCTTGTTAGTCACCCGTGACTGGCAGAGATAGAATAGGCACCCAAGAGTTTTGGCCCATGCCTGGACAGCAGGAGGAGTTTATGCTCTTATTTTCCAGACAAGGCTTTAGTGGACTTGGAGGGACCCTGGGGGTCAGTATGCCTGGCTGGGACCTGTGGACAAGGTTTCCACTTCACCTGGGCCAACACCTGGGAGTATTCTGCTCTAACACTCTTATGGCATTTCCTATCTTTTGGGCAGGGCTGGAGGAAGGACAAGGAGGGCACTGAACCAAATGTTCTTCCATCGTCTTGCCATAAGGACATGAGTCAGGCACTTTTCCTGATGCTGGCCTGCCAAGGGGCCAGACAGGGAACCACTAATGTGATCCGGGTGTGCATCTGTGAGGCCTCAAGCTGCCTTTGTCTCACAGCACTCACAGCACCTGGCAAGGGTGGTGGCCCTTTTCCATTTCAAACATGCAAGACTCTGGTGCACTGAGTGACAGTACCATGCTGTCCCTCCAGATCTTCCCCAGCTAACAAAGCCTTCTCACTCTTCAAATATCACCTCCTCTGTGCATCTCGCTCCTCCTCTAGTACTGCAATACGGGCTGCCCTCTGGATCTCAGAGCCTCTGTGTGGCACTGCACGCCACACTGTGTGGCTTTGTCGTGCCTGCCTGACTCTCCTCACCCCCATACCCTCTGTAAGCTCCCCAGGGAGGGGCATCGTCTGAATCAGCACAGACCTGGAGCAGGGCATGTGCTTGGCAAAGGTATCTCTCTTCCAGGGACTTTTCTCAAGCGTATGCTCAGGGTGCCTTTGATTGCAAGTGACAGAAACCACCCTGGACAAGCTTTGGTCCAAGAACACACTGGCTCTGTAACAGGCAGCAGGGATGTAGCTGCACTGGGCTCAGGGATGTCACCAGCCAGGGCCTCTTGGCTTCAGGGCCATTTCCGCTCTTACGATTCTTGCCCTCTGCCAACACCATTTTTTCATGTGTACTGAGCCTGGTCCTACCCAGGGCTCCCACCCCCAGCCTAGGGACCAGGAAGGAAAGGACTCCCACCCAGACATTGTGAGCTGAACTTGGGCCTGACCTGGAACATATGCCTACTCTACAGGCTAGTCATTGTGGGGAATGAACAGGATTGCCAGCTAGGATTATGTGTCTGCCCCCCGGGGCAAGGAAAGGGGCTTAGCACATGAGGGCAAGGGAGGAAAACAGAGTCTAAAAGAGGGGGCCCATGTTTGCAAGAGCTGGAGGATGAGGCTCTGGGTAGACTAAAGCAATAGAATGAGCTACAGTAAATAACTTCCCTTTTCAGGACTCAGTTTTCTCATCTATAAAATGGAGTCATTTATTGCAAAGTACCAGGGTTATTTATCCTACAGAATTTCCCAAGTTCTGGACTTGACTGAATGTTTCCTCACAGAGTCATTAAGAATGTTCCTGAGGCCAGATGCCAATGGCTCATGCCTGTAATCCTAGCTACTGAGGAGACAGAGATCAAGAGGATCATGGTTCAAAGTCAGCCCGGGCAAATAGTTTTGAGATAGTCTCCTATCTCAAAAAAAAACCCATCCCAAAAAAGTGGAGTGGCTCAAAGTGTAGGCCCTGAGCTCAAACCCCAATATTGAAAAAAAAAATTATTCCTGTTGCCCAGCCTTGTCTGTCGTCCCAGCTACTCAGGAATGAGGCTGAGGCAAGAGGGGACCCCAGGGTTCAAAACCAACCTAGACACCATAAATGAGACCCATAGTGACAGACCCTCACGCCCTCAAAAAATTAAGCAAAATTCCTGTAAGTCTGGGATATTGCTCAGTGCTGGAGTGCTTGCCTAGCATGCACGAGGCTCTGAGTTCAATTCCCAGAACTGAAGAAAAAGCTACACAAGCTTCACTTCACCAACTTGTAGACAGATCCAGATTCTTCATTAGATCAAGGTTCATAAATTTTGTTTCAAAATCTCAGCTACTTAGGAGGCAGAGATAGGAAGGTCAACCCAGGCAACAGTGCCATTAACTAACAACCCTAACTAAATAAGAGCTAAGGGAAACAGGGCTCAATGCATAGATCAGTTGGTAGAGCGCCTGCCCAGTAGAGAAAAAAAGAAAACAAAAGACTTTATAAGTGGCAGTGTTTGTACTGCGTGTTGTCCATTGGGATCTGTCAACGGTCTCCAGAGTTATTAATTGGACCTGTCCATTATAAAGTTCTGTATTAAGTGAACTTTTTTCATTGTAAATTTGTTTCAAATGCTTAGCAAAGTTGGAAGAACTTTACAGAGAATACCTGTACGCCCAAATATCTGGGTTTGACCTACCATCAACTTCATCCTCAGTGAGAACAGACATGGGCGATGTTGTCAAGGTCCAGTGTTTCAGGAAGGTTATTCTTACGCTGTTATTTCTCTGCAGTCTTCTGTAAGTAATTTTCCTTCACCAGCTATTTGGTCATTTGGAAATTCAGTCCGTGTAGGAACGATGAAGAGGATGTTTAATTTCTTTCCCTTTCTATTTATCAATTTTCCAAAAAATTAGTGTCCTGGGCACACCTAGAAGGAACTGATGAATTTCTTTTGAATTACATTATGAATTAATGAGATTTCATATTCGATGTGCTTCAATCTACTGCAATTATTATTCTTTTTTGACATTCAAACTGTACCTTCATTAGCCTTCCAGAGTGTTCCTGTGTCTTTTGACACGATGCCAGCAGTGTTCTTTCCTGCCCAGCGTAAGGAGCTGTCCAAATGTGTTTTGTCTATTTCCTGTACAGGTATCTCCCAAAGGAGCCCCAGTTCAGTTAGGCACAATAATCCTAATAAGGCCTAGGGGTGTAAAATGCTACTGAGAGAACATTTGTTTCTAGGCTTCCTTAGTGAACAATTTTTTTTTTTTAGAAATAAAACTGAATCTTGCCAGCAGGGTGGCACTCATCTATAATTCAAGCACTCCAGGAGTCTGAGGCTAGAAGATCTTGAGTTTGAGGCCAGCCTGGCTACATAGTTAGAACTTGTTCCCCTCCCCCAAAAAAAAGAAGGAAGGGGGGACAGAGAGAGGGAGAAAGGGAGGAACAGAGGGAGGAAGGAGGGAAGGAGAAGAAAGAAAGAAAGAAAGGGAAAGAAAAGAAAAGAAAAAGAAAGAAAAGAGGGAGGAAGGAAGGAAGGAAGGAAGAAAGAAAGGAAGGAAGGAAGGAAGGAAGCAAGGAAGACTAAATCTTAAATTCATACTGATATTTTCAATTCATATCAAGAATCGAGGGTTTTAATTTCTTTTCCAAAACAGGGTCTCACTTTGTGTCCCCAGGTTAGCCTCTAACTCAGGATCTACCTGCCTCTGCCTCCCAAGTACTGGGATTACAGGCATGCATCACCAGTGCCTGGCCAATTTTTTATTTTATACTTGCGTCTCTCATCTCATACTGAAAACCTTGGTTTTAATTAACATATTTCTTTGCCTCACTCTAAATTATATATGTAATTTTATAAAATAACAATATTTAATATTGTTACTATTAGTAAAGCTATGGCATAGAGTTTAAGATTTCTTCTTGGTTCATTTCATCCTTGGAATATATCCTACTAGGAATGTACAGTCAAAATACAATACTCCAAACACATTGGAAATAATTTTCTCCAGGTGGCTGTCTCTAAGTTGACACATCATTTCATTTATTTGTTTCATATTGGTATATTTAGGGATTACATTAAAAATTTTTTAATCTGTATAGAAATTATTGCATGTAGTTACAAAGTCAAAATTATGACATTTATAGTCAGGCCTGTTTCTTCCCTTTCTTTACTCTTTCCCGTGACTGAGAATTCTCATTAGTTTCCTTTTTCAAATCTAAGCAAGAATGTATTTTTCACACTGTCATAGACCGTGCACATGTCCCTGCTGGGGGTTGTCAGTATCATTATTTTAATTGTCCATTGTACGTGTCCAGGGCCTGGCATATGGTAATTCTTTCTCTCAACCTAGAGGCCCATTCTGGACAGTTACGGCTTGCATATGAAGTGTTCTCCAAAAAGAATCAGGTGAAGGGTAGCAGAGTGCCTCAAGTGGTAGAGTGCCTGCCTAGCAAAGATGCAGACCTGAGTTCAAATCCCAGTACCACCAGAATAAACAAATCCCTCAGTAAAAAGAATCATGTGTTCAGGCTTGATTCCCAATGTCATATCCAGAGGTGGGCTTTGGGGAAGTCATTGGATCATGGGGGCCCCGACCTACCTAATCAGTGGATTAATCCATTGATCAATTCATAATTGAAGAGATGATGGGAGGCTGGAGGCATGGCTCAAGTGGTAGAGCGCCAGCTTAGCAAGTGTGAGGCCTTGAGTTCAAGCCCCAGTGCTGCCAAAAAAAAAAAAAAATCCATGTGAAGAGATGATGGGGAGGAGTAGAAACTGGAAGGTGGAAGTGGGTCACTGGGTGTGTGCCCTTGAAGAGTGTATCTTGTTCATGGCCTCTCTCTTTCTCTCTGCTTTCCTGGGTGCTGTGGGGTGAACAGCTTTGCTTCAACACCCTTTCCTCACCATGGTGTGCTTGCTTTGTCACAGGCCTAAAAGCAATGGAGCCAGCCAACCACAGACTGAAGCTTCTGATACTGGGAGCCAAAAGCAATCCTTCCTTCCTTAAGTTGTTTTTTCTCAGGCTCTTTGTCACAACTCCGAGAAGAAACTGACACACTGATGCTCCCTTTACTCCCTTGCTTTCTTGTTCTCTGCAGTACTTGTCACCGTTTCATAAGCTCTATATTTTACTATCCCACTATAACCGTAGCCTCTAGAACAATGCTGAGCACCCAAACAGTATTTGTTGAATGAATAAAAGATAGCTTCTAAGTATATGAGGGGTATGTCAAATACATGGACAGGTGAGTTGATTTGGGGCAGGGCCTGTGCTCCCTCATCCTGTCCCAAAGACCCATCTTTGCCCCACATATCCAAGACCTCAGTACTTACTTGGGCTGGAGATGTGGTTCAAGTGGTAGAGCACCCACCTAGCAAGCACAAGACCCTGAGTTCAAACCCCAATACCACCCAAAACAACAACAATGCTGTGCCAGAGGTACTTGTTCGATCAGGCTCCAGTCTTGCCTGACCAGAGCCATCTTTCTCTCTTGGTCCAGGTGTCAAATGTGGAGGTGTGCTCTCAGCACCTTCAGGAAACTTCTCCAGCCCCAACTTCCCGAGATTGTACCCCTACAACACGGAGTGCAGCTGGCTGATCGTGGTGGCCGAGGGGTCCTCTGTGCTGCTCACCTTCCATGCCTTTGACCTGGAGTACCACGACACCTGTGGCTTCGACTTTCTGGAGATCTACAATGGGGCCTCTGGAGACAGGGGCAACCTGCTGGGGCGGTTCTGTGGCCGGGTGCCCCCACCACCCTTCACCTCCTCCTGGCACGTCATGTCCGTGGTCTTCCACTCAGACAAGCACGTGGCCAGCTGGGGCTTTTCCGCGGGCTACCAGAAAGGTCAGGGTGCTTGCTGATGGAGAGGCTGGCCCTGGGATGGAGGTGGGGGAGGGCAGCGGGGCTCATGTGAGCCTCAAGATTTCAGCTCCTTGCCTCCCTCTGTGACTCCTGGAGCCTCCAGAGGGACTCACTGTGCTGGGGAACAAGGGCCATCCTGCTCTTCTACCCTTGTCCTTCTTGTCCTGCAAACTGGCATCAGGCCGCAAGACAGCCCTACTGCTACTCTCACCACTGACACCTCTGTGGCTCTCACTTCTTCATGGCACGGGATCCCCACCCAGGGCCCAAGGGTACAGGCATGCCAGGGTTTGTGTGCAACTGGTGTCTCCCTCCCTCCCAGGGCCTTTCCTTAGAGTGCCTGCGTAACAGCACAAGGTCCTGAGTTCAAACCCCAGTACCACCAAAAGAGAAAACAAAAAAAAAGTAGTTGGAAACTACTAAAAAGCATAAGAATACTTTGTACTAGGTGCCACGGGCCTCTGGGGAGTCAGTCCTCGATACAGGTTAGAAGCCTCTGCTAAGGTCGGTAGTGTTGAAGGATCTCACGTGCTGTCTACACCTGCACCAGCCCTCTCACCTCACAAACAATGAATCTGAGACCAACAGGGAACGTACCTTTCCAAGGTCACATAGCAGACAGGGCATCCCTGGGACAAGAGCCAAGTCCTTACACACAGAATGCAGTGCTGGTCACACACTGTGCCATGGGGTGAGATTCTGGAATCTCAGGAAACACAGTCCCAGCGTGCCCTTCCTAATGGTGACTTCCAGCAAGTCATGGAACTCACCATCTCCTGCCTCACCACTGTACTGGCTGAACAAGTCCCTCAGCTCCTTCTGCAGCACCTTATGAGAGTCTGCAGGAGTCTGCAGCCAGAGCACTTCAATTTCTAAGATTCTGATGAGGCTCAGAGAAGCTGGTCACTTGTGCAGGGTCACACAGCTAAAAAGAAAAAAAGGCAGAGTTGAGAGGCCACTGGCCTTCAGACTTCAAGCCCACATCTATGTTGTCAGATCCTCTAAGTCTGCTAGGGAGGTTTGATCCCATTCCTGGCCCCAGGCATCTTGGCCTCTGGACCCCACTGATCTGGTGGGAGTGAACGGTGGGGTCACGGGTCAAGTACACAGCTCTATACTTAGCCTCTCTGGGTCCAAAGCCTTACCTAGTGACCTAGGGCCTTGCCACCTTGCTATTATCCTACCATTCTCTGCTTCTCTGTGCGAGGGCTTTTTCTGCCATCAAACAAGTCCCCTCACCCGCAGCAGCCCTGGGTCTGGACTCTGGAGAGGTGGCAGATAAACGCCCCAGCTTTCTTACTCCCAGGGCCACATAACTCAGGCGTATGCTTTGCCCCAGCCCCAGAATTCCCTAGTGGGGTTCAGCAGCTAGCTCAACATACCTCCCGCCTCTGCCTTGCTCCCTCACTCCTCACCTGGGATCTCCCAAAAAACCTCCTGGCACTCAGGTCCTTGCCCTGGGGTCTGCCGGGGCCAACTCAGATCCAGACAGGTGAGCTGCTTCAGTTCTCCGCACTTCAGTTTTCTCACTGTAAAGAGAAAACTACAGCACATTCCTCATGGGACCAGGGTGAAGATGAAAAATACAGCGTAAGTGCTAAGAGCAAGACCTGTGTCTGCCACGTGCCAAGTGCTCAGTGGATGGCGAGGGGGTTCCCGTGGCCCCCGTGGGGTGTTTGGGGGCGTCTGTTTCCCCGGGAAAAACAATCAACTCATGCAGATTCCCTTACAGATGTGTGTGGTGGCGTCCTGACCGGCCTGTCGGGGGTGCTCACCAGCCCTGAGTACCCCAACAACTACCCCAACAACGCAGAGTGCCGCTGGGTGATCCAGGCTGCTGGGCCCGCTGCCGTCAAGCTGGTGTTCGTGGACTTCCAGGTGGAGGGCAGCGAGCAGTGTTCCTATGACTATGTGGCTGTGCTGGGGGGGCCTGGCCCCGCACGTGGGCACCACTACTGTGGTGGCACCAGGCCTCCCACCCTGGTGTCACTGGGCCATGAACTGCAAGTGGTCTTCAAGTCTGATTTTAACATTGGAGGCCGGGGCTTCAAGGCCCACTACTTTTCAGGTATGTGGGGCCAAGCCTGCTTCCTGGTCATCAGGAAGTCCATCAGGGTTCCCTGTCCTGAACACTCGGTGTGGAGTGTTCAACACACCCTTCCCTGCCCAGGCATAAGCTTGCCATGCTCTGTGAAGACTTTCTGCTCACTCTCACAGAATTAGTTCCTTCCTCAACCCCTTCAAGAAGTTTCTTTACACTGTGATTTTATAACACTTCCATGTTGCTTTGCTTGTCCATCTCCCCTGCCTGACTGAGCTGCTTTGGGGCTTGTCTTTGTACCTGGCAGGTAGTAGATATTAATGTTTGCACAAGTAAGGAGACGACCCATTGTGTTGTGTGTGAATAGTAAGAACCCTGGGGGTCTTCTGGGAGGAGGAGGAGAGAACGGAGCAGTGCTTGAAGGAGTTAGCCAGAGGCAAAAGGGAGGAAAGTGGAGGAACAGCACGTGCAAAGGCGCGGAGGACGAAATGGTGCGCTGACAATATCAGGAGGTGTTTGGTAAGGTTGGAACACAGAGGGCGGTCAGTGTGTTAGCTCTCAAATGCTGAAACAAAATACAACTTTCAAGGAGAAAAGGTTTTATTTTGGTTCACAGTTTCAGAGGTTTGAGTCCATTGTCAGTTGGCCCGTTGTCTTTGGGCCTGGGGTGAAGACAGCATCTTGGCAGGGGATACCTGGTAGAGCAAAGCTATTGCAACCAGGAAGCAAAAGAGAGGTGGGGGCAGGAGTTCTACTACCCTCTTCAAGGGCACGCCCCCAACTCTTTTCCATTAGGCCCTACCACCTCTCAGTAACACCACAGGCTGGGGACCAAGCTTTAACAGATGGGCCCTTGCGGGACGCTTATCCAAACCTCAGCAATGGGGCGAGCAAAGGGTCAAGGCCAGATAGTGCCCTTTCTTGTCTGTCCAGTCAGGGAGTTTGTACTTAACCTTGAGGCCAGGATTAGGAGTTACTACTGAGTTCCTAGCAGACCAGCATTCTTGAAGGGGATTGCCACAGGAATGGGAATCCCAGCTTGGGCTAGTTCTAGCTTAGGCTTTGGGACCAATTGTCTGGCTTGCTGGTCATGGTGCCCATACCTGTCTACGGTGGCAGGACCCCTGGTGCCTACTATCTGAGCTGTCACTGCAGAGGGCAGTTTCCCAGCTCCTCTCATCAACTCCCTCCCTACCTTGCCCAGGAGAATGCCAGGAGGTGTACACAGCTGTGCGTGGCAACTTCTCCAGTCCACAGTACCCCAGTTCCTACCCCAACAACATTCGCTGCCACTGGACTGTCCGCCTGCCTCCCGGCTACCGGGTCAAAGTGTTCTTCCTGGACCTGGACCTGGAGGAACCCAACAGCCTGACCAGGGCCTGTGACTTCGACCACCTGGCAGCCTTTGATGGGGCCAGTGAGGAGGCACCACTGCTGGGGAATTGGTGCGGCCACCACCTCCCACCACCTGTCACCTCGAGCCACAACCAGCTCCTGCTTCTGCTGCACACAGACCGCAGCTCCACCGGCAGGGGCTTCTCAGTGGCCTATATTGGAGGTCAGCTGGGGTTGGGGGAGTGGGACGCTGAGGGGAGGGGAGGCTCTGCAGTCTCCTTCCTCCATCTCACCATTGTCCCCCTACCCCATGGACAGTCTCCTCCAGCCTCTTCTTGGTTGGCCACACCATGGTCCACTCTGGGGCCTTTGAGACCTTACTAGCATGGTCCTTGCATACTTCCTGACTGCAGGACCCTCCTTCTCCAGCTCCCAACTCTGCAATTCCTGTTTCTTCCCCACCTGCCTCCTTCCCCCGTGGGACCTGGCCTCTCTTTTACTGTGGTGAATTTCCCGAACCGGGGGTTAATACACAAAATAGGATAATAGCATTTAAGATAAACAATTGATAGACTCATAGCAATGCGTACCAGCCCTGATTGAACAAACAACACTTAATTTTCCTCAGGCAAGAAGTCTAGAGCTAAGCACCTGCTGTATTGATATAGGGACTCAACACTTCCAAATGGTGTCTCTGGGCTATTCAGCCTCAGGGATTCAACATGGCTGCCACAACTCCAGGCATCATGTCCATGTTCAGGACTGGAAGAGGGTAGGAGAGGTGCCATCCATAAAATGTCCCTTTGTCAGGAAATCAAAGCGTCTCCAGAGCTCTCACAGGCTCTGTCTCACAGCTCATGGGTTGGAACTCTTTCAGGTGGCCATGCCTGTCAACACAGGAAACTGGGGAAAGTGCTATTAGCTTTTCCAGACTCTTAAGTGTTGGTTAGATTCATCAGTGGAGCGTGGCCACCTTCTCTCCCTCCTCCCTCCACCCTTCCAGGGTCATATGCCCAGAAGGGCCTGCATCTGGACCCACTGCACCCTCTGTCTGACCAGGTAGAGCTCTTCTTTTCTCAGGTATGGAGGCAGAGATGCCGAGAGGGACTCAAAGGACTTCCCTGTGGTCACTGGGGCATCTGGCGGCACTGGCCACACTAGAGCTCACTGTCCACATTCCACCCAGGGTGGTGACCAAATTCTGCCATTGTAGGTGGACTGGTGAATGTCCTAGCCAGGCGGCATGAAGAGTGAGTGACGTAACACAGGTCACAATGCCTGGCCCCAGAATGTCCCCTTCACGGTGTCTCAGGCCTGTTCAACATTCAAAAGATCTTTCCTCTTTCCTTACCCCATGTGCAGAGGAGTTGGGGGCTCCAGTGACGGAGGAGGAAATAGAGCTGTAGCAAGCTGGTGGCCGAGATGTGACCCTGGGCAGACCAACTCCCTCTGGGCCCCTGTGGGCAGGGCAGCTCTGGCTCTGTTGGCACAGTCCCTTCTCTGATTTGAGGGTGGGCAGGGAGAGCTCTCTGAAAGCCAAGTGCTAGGGGGCTGTGCCACAGCGAGCTGGCACATGGCTTTGTCTCTCGGGATCTAGGTTTCCCACCTGTAAAATGAGGACATAGGCTGAGGATCTTTAGTGTTCCCCTTGCCTCTGACAAGGGCCTCTGTGATTTAGGACAAGCCTCTCCTCCTTTCAGTACTTCTGGAGACATGGGGCAGGTGGCACAGGGAGTAGGAGTGGCTCCAATCTGGCTCCAGTTCCGGGGCTTCAGTGCAGGAACCCCCTCCCCCCACCTCTCCCTCCCCAGGTCCCTGTGGGAGCCCAGGGTCAGACAGAGCACTCCACTGGGCCAGGCTCCAGATGGGGCCCAGGCTGCAGGCAGCCTTCCTACTGGTAGGGCAGTCACAGCATCAGTCAGGGGTGACACACAGTTCAGCGCCACCAAGATCATCGTGGGAGACGGTGGGCCCATAAATCCCTGCCTGCCCAGACACCCGAGGCTGAAATATGTCTGAGGCATTTCCCGGAGAGGGACTGAGGCCTCCGCCTGCCAGGTCCCTCTCCTTTTCCTCCAGCTAGCCACTGCCTGCCTTTTTCCTACACTTACCTCTGTCGCCTGCACATGTGGGTGCATGCACACACACACATAGATATCCGAACATACACTCATGTACTTAGAGCCAGTGTCACACGCCATCCTAGCAGCAGGGCATGCAGGAGGCTGCCAGGTAGCAGGGAGAGACCATGAGCTTGGGAATCCAAAGGCTAAAACCTCAATTTATCCACTGCAAACAACCTCACCTCTCAGAACTTTGGTTTCCAAAACTTAAAGTGGGTTTAGTCGTGTCCACCTCATGGGGCCATCACAGGATGGGGAAGTGGGGCTGCCCTCTCTGTCCTCTGCAGAGTAGCACCTCCACTTCCCCTCCCACTCTGTGCTCTTCCTGCCTTCCATCTGCATGTTTCCTGCACAGCACTCTACACTTCTCTGTATTTTACACAATTACTGTCCTTCCATGTGGGAGGGATAATGGATTGACTGTTTTCATTTCTGTGTCTGTGGTGCTTAGAATAGTGCCTGTGCATAGTAGGCCATCAATAACTATTTGTTAAATGACCAAGTGAGTGAATAAATTGCAGGTCATATGGGAAAGCAATTAGCAAACAGTATCTTTTATTATGCTGAAAAATTTTTATTCACTTGCTCACTAGGCCTGCCAAGCTCTGTGCTGGGCTCTGAGAGAATGGGCCTCCACTGCCTGCTCTCCTGAGCTCTTGGTCCAATGGAGTTAATTTAGGAGTAACATGTGAACTATCCATGACCTGTAGGAATCCACAAGAGCCTTTCCCACTCTGGGTCTCAGTTTCCCCATCCTGGGGCTTGGGGATGTAGGGGTCAGACTGACTGCCCCTAAGGTCTCTAGCTTCTCCCTCCTCTTCCCAGTGGTGCCCATGAATGTGAGTTGCTCCCGCACGGACTTCCAGATCTTGATCTCCACCCAGGCGTTGGCTTCGCTGGACAGGACCAATGTCTACCTGGGCAGCCGGAGCTGTGCCGCCCAAGAAGTCGGCAGCAACTTCCGGATCCAGGCCCGCTTTGACACCTGTGGCACTGAGTCTCAGGTAGGGACTGGGGAGGCAGTGGGAGGGAGGGGCCCTGAGTCCTGCTGAAAGGCACTTGCCATCCTCCAGCTTCTCCCCTGGCCGTGGTGGCTGCACAGACCTGGGTGCAGAGCTCAGTCCTTCCTAGTTTTGTTTGCTTCACCAGCCTTGCTCAGTGTAGACAAGCAAAGAATTCATATGGGAGGTGAAACAGGGTCCTGCTGGGCAACCCTGCAACAGCCCACAGCCTCCACTGGCTGCTCCTTTCAAAAGGTCCTCGTGGTGCATACCACTCAAGCCCCTGCCCTTTCTTCCCTTCTCCCTCAGAGCCCCCAGGGGCACTGAAGTCCTCTCACCTTTAGTATGCAGAGCCATCCCACCACTGTGTCCAAGCTGGTGATCCAAATCCATCCTTGGGCTCCACAACAAAACAGCCTTTTAAGTAACAGGATCCACCAGGCTATGCAGTTCACAAACAAAATTTTTCTACTATCCTTGGCCGTGAATCCAGACTCAGGGCTTCAGAGAGTCACTGGACCAGGGCCCAAGCACCCCGGATGTTTGTAGTCTAGACAGTGGGAAGGGAGGTGAGGAGAGAAGGAAAAAGGCCTGCCTCTGTTAGATGCCCAGCCTTGGAATCCAGGGATTTGTAACCTGTGTTGGCAGAAGTTATGTGCTTTTCAGCAAACTGCCTCTGTCTCTCGGCATCAGCCATATGCCTCTGGCCCTCCGGTCTACCCCTCTGCCTTCCCCAGCCTACTGGCAGCCACTGGCCTTTGGATCTGAGAAGTGTGTGCATGTGCGGTGGGAGGGGTCAGTCCTGGCTGCCAAGACGTTCTGCACTCACCCCTGCTTCATGCCAAGTCAGCTCCAGGAACTCTTTGGGACAGAACCCCATCCCATAGAGTTTTGGAATGCTGGAGACAAGAACCCAAGAAACACGAGAACCATGAAGTCCTAGAACCAAGGACTCAGGGACGCTCAGTCTCAGAACTCCACCACCACCTCAAACTCAGAGCCATCGAACCATGGAATCATAGAGTCAATATTCTGGAAATCTGAAGTCTGAGAACCTAAGACTCGTAGATGCCTGTGTAACCCATATCAGCCCTGGGCCCTGAGGCCAGGTCTTACAGAATTGCTTTCAAATATGCTCAAATTGCCAGGTGCTCCTGGCTCATGCCCTCAATCCTAGCTACTTGGGATTGGGAAGATTGCAGTTCAAAGCCAGCCCAGGTAAATAGTTCTTAAGGCCTCATCCCCAAAATAACCAGAGAAACATGGACTGGAGGTGTGGTTCAAGCAGTAGAGTGCCTGCTTTGCAAGCGCAAATCCTTGAGTTCAAACCCCAGTCCCACAAAAAAGGAGGCCTAAATGGTCAAAGATAATAAAAACATCAAGGTCAAGCTTTCTGTTCCTCTATGAAAACACTGGGACTGGACTTCCAAACCCTCCACCTCCTTGTCCTGGGCTTTATTTCCTTCCCCTGTCTCTTCCTCATCAAAGCCTTCATGCCTCCTCCTCCACTCCGTGTGATTTTCCCTCCGTCCTTTATTGTGTAGGCTGATTCTGGCCCTCTCCCCAGTTCTCCCTCCTCTCTCCAGTCCTATCTAGCTTTGTCAGTGTTCTGATTCTGTATCCAAAAAACTCAGGCCACAAGCTCCTCTCAGAGGTTGGACAGGCTGAGGACACAAATGCAGAGGCTCCTTTAGGGAATGGGATCCAGGGCCTTTTGGAAACCCAAAGCCCCTAAAGTCTCCTAGTGTGCAAAACTGGTTGTGACAGCCCTTCAGGCCTTGTCGAGGGGTGGCCTAGTTTCCTGTGTGCGAGCTTCCTGCTCCCCATGGCTACCCTTCCAACTTGGGCAGCATACTGTTGCAGAAGCCTATCTCAGCAGCCCTGAGATAGGAGAGTGGCCCTGCAGCGCTCTATCCCTGCCCTGCAGACCACTCTAGATGGCCCACCAGAATGGCCTCTCCGGCCCTGCACCACGTGCCCCATCAACCCAGGCAAATTAACTCCTACCTCCTTCATCTGTGGAGACGGGGCAAGAGTGTGCTGGGCCCCTTATATCTTGCTCCTCAGTGGCTCCTCCCGACCCTACCCTGGTACCTTGGGTGATCAGTGACTCCAGGGCTGGGACTCTGCTGCACATATAACTGAGAGAAAAGACTCCCGAAGGAAGGCCACACAACACCAGGGACTAAACTGCTGGGAGGCAGGGTACTTGCTTCTAGACCTTACTCTGGGAAAGTTATTGCTTCTGGACCTCAGTAGTCACATCTTTGAACCTGCCAAGGGTGGGGACTGACCAGCTGCTCTTTGGTTTGAGTGAGGCATAACACAGCTAAGCATTGGGAAGGCTGGTTGTGGTGACATACACCTGTAATTCCAGTGACTCTAAAGGCTGAGATGGAAGGATCTAGGTTTGAGGCAGGGAAGTGGGGAGGAGTTAGCAAGACCCCATCTGAATAAACAAGCTGGTTGTGGTGGTATATGCCTACAATCCTGGCTATAGGAGAGGAGGAGGTAGGAGGATCTCAGTCCAAGACCAGCCCCTGAGGCAAAAGGTGTGAAACTTTACCTAAAAAATAAATTAAAGCAAAAAGGGCTGGAGGCATGGTTCAAATGGTAGAGCACTTACCTAGAAAGTTCAAGGCACTAAGAGCAAACCCTACTACTGCCCCCTTCCCCTAACCCCCCCAAAAAGAGTTGGGAAGGTTGGGAAGAGAAAGAACACTGTGTCTTCCACTTGTATGCTGTGTGACATCAGACAAGGGGTTTAACCTCTGGATCTCAGTCTCTCCGACTGTAAAATGGGAACATTAGTGGTATTAGTAGGAGGGTTGTTGTGAGAATTAAATGAGTTAGTGCATTTCCAAAACCTAGAATACGGTAAATGACCCTCAAACGTTAACTGTTATTGTTGATACCTGCCTCCTTGAAAGCAGGGCAAACACTGGCTCATCAAATATGGTACTGGTCTTCCAGACAGTGCACCCTCACACTGCCCCTTCTATAGATGAGGACACTGAGGTACTAGTAGGAAAGGAGCAGGTGGACGAATTAGGGCTGGAACCCAGGCCTACATACATTTAGGGGGATAGGGTCAGCTCAAGTCAGGTGTGAGCAGTGCCCTCTGATCCCACAGAGAAGAAACAACACCTCAGTGATCGTCAGCGTCCTGTACATCGACTTCTCGGCCGCTGGGCAGGAGGACGTCCATGCATACGAGGTCCGCTGTGAGCCCCGGCGCAAGGAGGCTTCTGTCCACCTGCTCTCTGGCTCTGACTGGCTGGGGCCCTACGCTGCCACTGCTGAGCACCTTCAGGAGGCACCTCCTAGGGACGAGGCAGAGGGACTGGAGGGCCCAATGACCATGGTGGCCCAGGACACCAGTGACATCGTCTTCCTGGGCCTCTGCATCCTGGCTGGAATCCTCATGGTCATTGCCATTGTGGTCCTGATGCTGCTGTGAGCAGGCAGGATAGGAACCTGGCATCTGGCATCCCAGGAAGGAAGCTTGGAGACCCGCGACAGGGACAGAATGGGGCCTTGCTGACTTGCTGGTGACCTATGAGCAAGTTATATCCTTCTCTGGGCCTCCCTTTCCCAGAGACCACCACTCTGCTCTGCTACCTCTCAGGGCTGGCTTGAGGCTCAGAGAAGTGTGTTGTGTAGGTGGATGCAATCACTTTATTATTAATTTTGAAGATATTCTGCTCCAGAAAAGAAAACACCCGTGTGGTCACTGCGGCACAGCGTGACTCATTCTGTATCGAGTATGAGTAGTTCACCAACTCAGGGTTCAAATAAGGTCACCTCTTATTTTTCCAATTAATTGCTCACCCAAGCCTTCAATAACAAAAAGCTTGGCTTCCATCCAGGGACTTCCACCCTCCTGTCCAGCTCTGCCTCCAAACCAGGAGCAGGGCAAGGGAGCTGAAGCCCCATTAGTGCTGTAGTTTCAGCCCCTGCTACATGATGTCGCTGTTGAAGACGGGTCCTGCAAGTCCTTCTGGATGCTGGTCCATGGAGTTGGTGATGCCTGGCTGGATGAGATCCCTATAGAAACTGTAGGTAGGCCCTACACAGTGCCCAGTAGTGAGGCTGGAGCTGGGGACAGGTGTGTCTCTCGTTCACTTTGGAGTTTTTCCTCAAATGTCAAAAGCTGATTGAAGTCCTGGGTGTGTCTGTCCTAACCTCAGGTCAGCAGCCCATTCTTGCCCCTCTACATGGGTTCTCTGTGGAGCTCTCTGTGCATTCTTGCATATTTGGGGTTCACTCAGAGCTGCTCCAGTGTACCCACATGCTTCTAAGCTCACATCACAGAGGGTGGGGGTTAGGTTCCCAGGACTTCCTTGTGGTGGGGGGAGGCCTCTGGTATTATTATGCAAACCAATCCATCCTTCTCCAGACCTCCACTTGATACCAAGAAGTGGAACAATCTTGTTAATGGAAAATAAACAAAAAATCCATTTATAATACACTACTTTCCCCTACTCACCTTTATATTTGCACAATGATCAATCAAGTCATCCTTCATAATAACAGAAATCTCCAAACTGTCCTTACTGACCACTGGTGTCAAGTTTAAAAAATGGAGGCCAATTAAAATTCATTCAACACCCAACAAGCACCTACTGGGTTCCAGATTTCATGTCTGTGGTTTTGACCGTCTCCAGGTGCACAACAGCACCTTTCCTGCCTTCTAGATGTTTCTAGTGTGGCAAAGCACAACTGGGGAGGGAGGAGGCAGACAAGTTGGGAACTTGAAGAAAAGATGAGAGAGTAAAGAACCCCCAGAGTAAGAAATGAATTAAGCAAGGGAAAAAGAGTTACCTGGACATTAGGAATTGAACTGGGTTCAAGTTCAAGCTTTTGTACTTGTTAACTGTGTGTGCCTGGGTAAGTCCCTTTGATTCTGTGAGCCTCGATTTTTCCATCTGCAAAATGGTACTGCAGTTTCTACACGTTGAGAATATAGCAATGTGATAAGTTAGGGAAGTCTGTCAGGGCAGGCGTGCTGGCAGGAGGGTCCTGAATTGACCTTGGGGTTCGGAGCAGAGACCCCATTCTCCTTTCCTTCCTCTCCCCTCGCCTCCCCTTCTTGCTCACTGTCTCTGAGCTGGGTACCTTTGCCAAGCTGCTTTGCAAACAATGCACAGATGCCCTGGCTGAGGATGACGGGGTATACCCCAGATACTCCCTGAAGTTCTGTCATCTGGGACAATGGACTAAGTCTTGGGGTGCTGCTGGTGGGACCCGGGCTGGTGGACACAGGCTGGGCTTAACACTTGTCAGCCTATCAGGGTGGGAAGACAACGGCCCAGCTTGTACTCCAAAGCTAAGTGTGTGCATGTGTGTGCAGCTGCACATGTGTGTGTGTGTGCTATGGGGAGAGGCTGGGGCTCAGACTCTACTCTTGAAGGCTGATCTTTAAGGGCCACTGCCCAGAGGCTGAGAGCTCTGACTGTAGCCAGGCCACCTAGGGTCAAACCAGGGCTCTACTAGTTTCTGGCTGTGTGACTTTGGGCAAGTCACATCACCTCTCTGAGCTTAGGCTCAGTACTTCTTACCAGGAAGGTAAGGGTAATCACAAAGCCTCCTTCAGCGGTTCACAGTGGGAATGAAATGAGATGTTGTGACAGTGCCCGGAACAGGAAGGGATTCAGTGAAAGTTATTATCATGGACTTACAAGTCATAAAATAAAAACCCAAGCTCCAGACCCACTGAGTTGCTGTGTGATTTGGGGAAGCCCCTTTCCTTCTCTGCCTTGTCTCCTTTGTAAAATGTGACAAACATCGTGATCACCTCCAGTGCTGTCACTGTCAGAGTTACTGCCTCCTAAACACCCACTACACTACAGGTGTCATCTTACCTAAACCACCTTGCCAGGTAGGCCTCACTGCCCCCATGTTACAGTTGAGGAAACTGAGCTCACAGTCACAGGGCTCTGAAATGTCGAAGCCAGGCTAAGAAGAGACAGTTCTTCTCAGAGACGGGGCTGTGCAGAGCGCTAGAGCCCCTGGGGTCCCAGGACAATGCCAGGAGGAGTGCGGGCCAGATCTGGCTGGGAAGGCCTGGGGTGGCAAAGAAGAGAGCAGGGCTCTGTCTTCACAGATGGCTCTGAGCCTGCCGTTCCCACCCTCCAGGCAGCCAGCACGTTGATTATCTTCGTGAGCTGCGGGAAATGACAGTCTTTATGACAGCACAGTGTCTATTAGAACTGAAAGGGCTGAAATGATACCCATTAGCCAACACACCCGGCCCTGGAAGAGCGTGGGCACAGCGGGCATAGCGCAGCCTGCCTGCTCACCCCCCTCCCCATGTAGGTGAGCTCCCTTTTCAGAGAGCAGGAGCTCCCTCCCACACACAGGCATAGATCATACTGGCTCTGGGGCATGCTTACCCTGTTCCTATGGGCTGATGTCACTGAAGATGGGGTCCCTGGAAAGTGGATGCATTGGTCTTGGAAAAGCACCCTTAAGCTGCAGGTCAGACAGATCTGAGATTGCTTGCAGTTCTTTTCCTGACTCTGTGTTACCTTGGGGTGGTTACTTAATCTCTCTGGGTCTCAATTTCCTCATGTGTAGAATAGGAATAGGAAAACCCTCTTCACAAGATTATTGTGGGGATTAGGTGGGAAAAGAAAGGAGAGCAGAGGGCTTCTGCCCAGACAGATTCAGAAAGAGGTGGTCTTGGCCAGAACAAGGGCTTCCCTGAGGCATCCTCAGATCTCAGAGCTGGGAGGGGCAAGTTCTTCCTCTCCCTCTCCGATGAGCCATCTGGCACTCAGTCTGCCCCAGCGCCTGCTGTTCTCCAGTAGGCCAAGGTCATCCACACACAGTCCTGAGTGTGGTATCCCTTCCATCACAGCATCCCCTGGCTTGGTTCCTCAGGTCCTTCTAGGTTCTGATGGTCCTGACCACGGGTGTGAGATAGCCCCCAACCAATCACCGAGCACCCCTTGTGCCTTGCTTTATTGTTTCACAGCATCATCTGAAATGATGTTAGGTGTTGGCTTTCTACACTCCTGTTCCCTTGCTACGGTGCCAGCTCCATGAAAACACTCTTCATCGCATCATCCCTCTGGGGCTGCACACATGGCATTTGAGGAGCACTTGTGGCTGAATGAGGGAAGATGGAAGGATTCGTTTCAACTCAACTCACCCAAGCCCGTGGTATGGGGTTACCATGTTTTGGTGCAGTCCATGGCAAGGACATTTCTGGGACCTCTCTGTCCTCCTCCGCTCTGGGAAGCAGACTGGCTCAGACTTGGTCCCTGTCCTCTAGGCACCCATTGCCTAAAGGAGAGAGCCATATAAACAACTATGAGGCCCATGGGCGCTTGGGTTAAGCTGGGTTCCAGTCAGGGTGATGGGAGCAGGAGGCCAGCCACTGAAATCAGATTTGAAGAGCGCTTGATAAAGGCCTGGTTTACAAAGGTGCAGGTGGGGTGTAGAGAGGCCACAGGGAGGTTCCAGCCTGTGGGGCCAGTGCCACTGGCTGTGCTTCGGGCCTCCTCAGGTCTGAAGGATGAGCAGAGGAGATGTGCGCATTCTGGGGCACAGCCATCCAGGGGACCCTGGGAGGGGGCAGGCCTCCCCTTCTGATGCAGAAGGGGAGGGGGCAGGCCTCCCCTTCTGATGCAGTGGGTGCTGAGGATGCCTGCCAGCCTCCCCAGGACACAGAAGAGCCCCAAGTGGACTCCGAGGGGCATGAGGAAACCACATAGAAATAAACAAATGCTTTACTCTCAGTTACTTTAGTGACCAGGACAGGGGTCAAGTGTCAGAGGAGCAGAGGGAGGACACAGGCTGCTGGGAGACTCGTCAGGCAGAGGAGGTGGACCATCCTGACATAGGGAACAGCATATGCAAACACAAAGAAGCACAGAAGAGCACGTCATGCCTGGAGCCAGGAGGAGGGCTGGGATGGGGTCTCTGAGGTGCAGAGGTGAAGCTGGGGGTTTTTAATTTAAGAAACAAGATGGCACCAGCTGCTTCTCTCAGAACAGTGGTGGAAGGACTTCTTGTGTCCTTGCTTCACAAGGAAGGAAGCAACTGGGCCACAGAGGAAAAGTAAACATTCTTCTCTGTCATCAGTGCCTTCTGGGCGGTGCCCAGGAGATTTGTTGGCACCACACACACTGTTTGGAAATCGGCTTGGCCCACAGAGCTGAGTCCTGGGCTCCAGGCTGTCTCTGCCACCTCCTGACTGAGTAGCCTTGGTCTAAACGTCCACCTTTAGGAGGCTGGTCTCAGCCATCAGGAGCCAGGTCCTGGTTCCAGGTAGGAACAAGGGACAGATGCATCAGGAGATGAGGTTGCAGCTGGTCCTATCTTGGTTCTGAAGCTTGCTGTCTGTGGAAGCTCAGACAAATTCTATAACCTCTCTCTATAAATTGGGAACAATAGCCTGAAACTTCATTGAGATTTACACCATGACAGACATGTTTCTAGAGGTTTTTGCAT